TCAACTATCATATATGATTTAAGAATCTCCTGACGTGTGGAGAAAAGGGAACCCTCTTACACTGCTGGTGGGACTGTAAACTGGTGCAGCCACTATGTAAAATAGTATGGAGGTTCCTCAAAAAACTAAAAATAGAGTTCCCATATGATCCGGCAGTCCCACTCCTGGACATATACCCAGACAAAACTATAATTTGAAAATATACATGCACCCCTATGTTCATAGCAGCACTATTTACAATAGCCAAGACATGGAAACAACCTAAATGTCCACTGACAGACGAATGGATAAAGAAGATGTGGTATACCTCTTGCACTGTCGGTGGGAATGTAAACTGATACAACCACTATGGAGAACAGTATGGAGGTTCCTTAAAAAAACTAAAAATAGAATTACCATATGACCCAGCAATCCCACTACTGGCCATATACCCAGAGAGAACCATAATTCAAAAAAACACATGCACCCCAATGTTCATTGCAGCACTATTTACAATAGCCAGGTCATGGAAGCAACCTAAATGCCCATCGACAGACAAATGGATAAAGAAGATGTGGTACATATATACAATGGACTATTACTCAACCATAAAAAGGAATGAAATTGGGTCACTTGCAGAGACGTGGATAGACCTAGAGTCTGTCATACAGAGTGAACTAAGTCAGAAAGAGAAAAACAAATATCGTATATTAACACCTATATGTGGAATCTAGAAAAATGGTAGAGATGAACTGGTTTGCAAGGCAGAAATAGAGACACAGATGTAGAGAACAAACATATGGATACCAAGCGGGGAAAGCAGGGGGTGGTGGTGGTGGGATGAATTGGGAGATTGGGATTGACATATATACACTAATATGTATAAAATAGATACTAATAAGAATCTGCTGTATAAAAAAAAAGCATAAAATAAAATTCAAAAAAAACGAAGATGTGGTATATATGTGGTACACACACACACAGTGGAATATTACTCAGCCATTAAAAAGAATAATAGTATTTGCAGCAACATGGATGGACCTAGAGATTATCATAATAAGTGAAGTAAGTCAGAAAGAGAAAGACAAATAGCATATGATACCACTTTTACATGAAATCTAAAATACGACACAAATGAACTTATCTATGAAACAAAAACAGGCTCACAGACATAGAGAACACACTTGTGGTTACCAAAGGGGGAGGTATGGGAGAGGGAAGGATGGGGAATTTGGGATTAGTAGATGCAAACTATGATACATAGGATGGATAAACAGCAAGGTCCTACTGTATAGCACAAGGAACTATAATTTAATATCCTGTGATAAACCATAGTGGAAAAGAGTATGAAAAAGAAAAAGAATATGAAAAAGAATACATTGATATGTATAAATGAGTCGCTTTGCAGTACAGCAGAAATTAACACAACGTTGTAAATCAGCTATACTTCAATAAAATTTTTTAAAAATCTTCTGAGAATTAAGATACTACATCATACTTACTTCTATATTTAACCATTTCTATATTCTTTCCTTTTTTAAAAAAAATTTATTTGGCTGCACCAGGTCTTAGTTGCAGCACACGGGATATTCGTTGCCACATGCGGGCTCTTAGTTGCGGCATGCACGTGCTGTATCTAGTTCCCTGACCAGGGATGGAACCCGGGCCCCCAGTACTGAGAGGGTGGAGTCTTAACCGCTGGACCACCAGGGAAGTCCCTATATTCCTTCCTTTCTGAAGTTTCAAGCCTTTTTCTGTTATTTCCCTTCTGTTTGGAGAAATTCTCTAACCATTCTTTAAGGGTAGGTTTGCTGGCAACAAATTCTCAGAGTTTTCCTTCTAAGCATGTCTTTATTTCTCCTTCATTCATGAAGAGTATTTTCACTGAATATAGAATCCTAGGTTGACAGTTCATTTCTTTCAGTACTTGAAAAATGCTACGCCACTTCCTTCTGGTCTCCATTGTTTCATATGAGAAATCTGCTGTTATTCAAATTGGTATTTTAAATAATGTGTCATTTCTCTGTGGTGGATATCACTTTTGTTTTCCTTGTGTAATTATATTTAATTATAATGTCTTCCCATGGATTTACTTGGATTTATCCTATTTGGAATTTACTCAGCCTCTTGAACATGCATGTTTACGCCTTTCACTAATTTGGGGAGGTTTTCAGCCAATATATCTTCAAATATCTATCCAGTCCCACACTCTCATCTCCTGAGACTTTTATGACATGAATGCTAGCCCTTTTGCTGTCCCACACGTCCCTGAGACTCTATTCATTTTGTTCCAATCTATTTTCTCTCTGTTGCTCAGGCTGGATAATTTCTATTGATCTGCCCTGAAGTTTACTAATTCTATCTGCTGTCATCTCCACTCTACAACTGAGCTGATCCAGTGAGTTTTTTATTTTGGTGACTGTATTTTTCAGTTCTATAATTTCCACTTGGCTCTTTTTTATAACTTCTATTTCTTTACCGAGATTTTATATTTTTTCATTTATTGGAAAAATAAATGAAAAAGAGAATTCCTAATTGCTTTTGAAACAATTTAATTTTTTAAAAAATATTTTTTAAATTTAATTTTAATTTCAACATCTGATTCCTGTCAATATTGGCATCTATTGATTGCCTTTTTCATTTATGTTGTGACTTTTCTTGTTCTTGGGATGACAAGGAATTTTTAATTGCATTTTGGGCATTTTTGATTGTATACAGTGAGACTCTGGGTCCTATTTAATCGGTTTTCTTGGCAGTAAATCTCTCTGTTGAGGTGTGGCACAAGGGCCAAGTGGTTGTCGGTGGGGTGGAAGATCAACTTCCTGTTTATCCCTGCTGAAACTGTGGACAGCTGGTCTATTGGTTGCTCCATTGGTGTTTGGCTAGAATAGGAAAGGTACTGTCACAAAAGGATTTTATTGTTAGGCCATTCTTTTCCTGGTCCTTTGACTAAAGGAAACAGGCTTTTCTTAGAAGTTTGTTTTTCTGTTTGTTTGTTTTTGTCTATGCCTGTTGTTGGCCCAGGTGGGAAGCTTCTGGAGTGCTCTATTTGGGAACAGATTCTATTATAGAACAGATATTGATTCTATGGGAATTAATAAAAAACCCAGGGAAGGGGCTTCCCTGGTGGTGCAGTGGTTGAGAGTACGCCTGCCGATGCAGGAGACGCGGGTTCGTGCCCCGGTCCAGGAAGATCCCACATGCCGCAGAGCGGCTGGGCCCGTGAGCCATAGCCGCTGAGCCTGCGCATCCGGAGCCTGTGCTCCGCAACAGGAGAGGCCATAACAGTGAGAGGCCCGCGTACTGCAAAAAAAAAAAAAAAAAAAAAACCCAGGGAACTCACCTCCATGTCTTTAAGTCTAGGCAGTTCCCCTTCTTTCTACCTTGCAGGTCTTCCTATACTTGTTTGTGGGGTAACGTCCAGGACTTTTCAGTTGTAAGGGGAGGGATCTGATTAAAATATGGCTACTCCATACTGGCAAAATAAAAAGTCTGGATTGGTTTTAATAAAAACGACTTCAATCTTCAACATTCATAAGTTCAAAAGAGATTTTAAATAAATTCTTAGCTCACTTTCTCTAACAATTTTTTCATTCATTAGACTTCATATCTCCAAATATCACACTGCCCTTGTTCATCGGGGAAGCCACCTGAAGGAAGAATCTTTTCTATTTAATGTTGTAAGCACCATCACTGGACACCTATTTAAGGCTCTGGGAGATATTCCAATGCTACAAAATTGGGAATGGGGTGAACTCCAGAGCCAGGCAATGGCCAAACAAAGAGAAAGTCCCTAGCGAAATCTGGCTGTAAGTTTGTTATTTTTTTCCTACCTTGGCCAAAAAAATTACCATGAACAAACATTCCCTGGATACACTTGTTCTTTGAACTATAACATACTTGTTTCTCTCTCCTAAAAGCAAAGCTGATTATAGTGGTGCTTCCCCCTCAGATTAAGGTTTGGATATTAACTCTGTTATAATTTGTCCTTCTCACTCTGTGTTCCAGTTCTAGTGCATTTCTCCCAATCCTCTATTGTTCACTCCCTCAGAGGTACCCAAACTTCTACCACCTGCATCTAGGATAGCACCAATGGGACTCCCTGCCCATTTGGGCCAGAGGTTCTTCCCAGCACATGCATAGTACATCACAGAGAGCTACCTTGGCCATTGTCCTCAGTCACCTCATGGGGATCTGCTCTCCAGAGGAGGAGCATTATTTTATTGTACCCACATGGCAGGTACAACAAAACAATGTGAGTAATGATAGCTATGAGTCCCAGGACGTGTGACATTGTTGCAGCCACAGCTACACAGCTACAGGGTCATTTGGCCCTGTAGGGTGATTGGTGGTGGCTGTGATGGTTGTACTGACAGATTTAAGGGTGGCCAAAGGAAAACAGAATTTTATAGAAATCCACTGTGCAAATTTTCCAAGAATGCTCCAACTGGAAAGGAAACTTGTATCCCATTTCCTAAGTTCCTCCATTAACATACCTTCCTTTTGCTCCAGGCAATATATATTTATGAAGCAGGCAATGCTCGCAGCATTAAGGATACAGCAGAGAGTGACATTATCCCTATCCTTATAAAGCTTACCTTCTAAACCAGGAGTCAAGTTACCCCAATATCTACCCCAACAGTTATTTAATTAATTTTATTATTAAGTGCAAGAAGAGATATAACAAGTGGGTTCAATTTTCTTTGAAATTCCAGCAAGAGCCATATTCTTTCAATGGTGTCAATATGGGTGAAAAGCACAACACAGGATGTGCTTAGACCAAAAGAAAATCAATTGTTTCAGAACTATCGAGCATCTGAACTCAATATAAGTATTTTACTTTCATGATTTTATTTGGGCCTCTTCATAAATGTTCTACACACTGGAGTTCCAAGGCCCTAAATGAAAGGGCAGTACATTTGGTGAGTTTAAATACTAGGACAGAATTACTGTAATTGATCACTGTGAGGGAGATGGGTGTGCCATGACCCCTGATGCACCTGCCCAGCAGCAGGCCCTACCTCCTTGTTTGTCCTGTCAGCTTGCACCAACGTTCCATTCAGGCAAGGTTCCACGTAGTGAAGCTCCTCGTTATACTGCAAAGGGAAAAACAGCGAAGAGGAAACACTTAATTAAGCCTTTGAAGGGTACACAATAATTTAAGGATACACACACACACACAAACAAAAAAGCAGCACGATCACAGGCTCAATTCATTTACACATAAGGTGACTTTCTCAATCAGTACCCCTACAAAAAAATTGTGCTTAAGTGCAAAGACATACTTTATTCATTTCTTGTTTGAGGGGGAAACTTGTACAGCACATATTGGTAGATGGCAGTGTTCAGGGTGTACACAGTTAACTGATAATCCTTCAGGGGTGACTCCAAATATAGGGGTGACTCCAAACATAGGGGCTCCCAGGGCATGGCTAACAGTGCATGGTCCAGCTGAGATCTAAAGAGCATTCCACAGAATTTCCTGGCAGTCCAGTGGTTAGGACTCTGTGCTTCCACTGCAGGGGGCACAGGTTCGATCCCAGGTCAGGGAACTAAGATCCCACAAGCCGCATGGTGAGGCAAAATAAATAAGTAAATAAAGAGCACTCCAAACTTGGGCGGATAGGGCTCCAGCTCTGCCTTTGGTTTCATGGAGCTAAGGAACCTATGTGCAGGTCACATATGAGTGAGTACAGAATGTTGGAAAGGAGAGGCCTGGATATTCCCCTATAAGAGCCTTTGCAGGTGTTGGTCAGAGCACTGCACATGCCCAGTGACACCACTGTCCACACAGGCCAATGCCAGCCTTCCCGTCATTTTTGATTCCAGAATACCCAGATTATGAAAGCTTGTTTTTGTCCAAAGCTCACAGCTAGGAAGAGAAATTCTGAGTGGTCTTATTTAAATTTCTCTCATCAAGCATGGTTCTCTGCACTGTAGTTAGATTGGGACATTCCCAAACACAAATCTAATCATTCCCCCTCTTGTCAATGTCATTCAGAGCCCCCCATTGCTCTGCAGAGGAAACTTCTCAGGGCTTGGCAGGGCTCTAGCCACTCAGCCCTGTTGACCTTTCTAGCATCTTCACTCATTAGCCCTCCCCATAAACTCGGCAACAGCCTGCCCTAATTCCCTTTCTGTCCTCTGAGATGACCCATCTTTTCCTTCAGGCCTTCCACAACTGGGCCTTCTTCCTGAAGCCCTCCTTTGGCATCTCCAGCTGACACCTGTTCATCCTCTGGGCCACCTTACCCCTGACTCCTCTGGGAAGCTGCCTCTGTTGCAAGAGAGGCTCCGCTCCTATCCATTCCAAAATTTTAATTGCCTGGTGCCTGGATCCATCACAATGTGGGACCACATCAGTAGGGTCTATGTCTGGTTCCTCAGTGTATTCCCTGTGACAAGCACAGGGCTGGACCCAGAGTAGGTACTGGGGAACAATTTGTTCAATGAGAGTATCATGGCATTTCCACTTTAGGGACCAAAGGCCCAGCCCAGAGCTCCAGAGGGAAGGGACCAGAACCATCTCTCACAGGGCCAGCCTGCGAGCAAAGTCTGGCTAAGAAGTTTGGACTTTAAGCCTACAGGCAGTGAGAACCATAGGCTGTGGGCAGAGGAGTAGGTGAAAAAAAGAGATCAGCTTGGGGCAACTACTCTGGACACACTGCAGGGACAGACTGCAGAGGACCAGACTGGCAGCTGCTGCAACAGTGACTAAGATGTATCAGGTTTCACCTACCAAGATGCTTAATAGCAAGTCGGGGTAGTGATAACACTAATATTTGCAACTAACTGTTAGTGAGCATTTCCTTTATCTAGACACAGGCTAGACTTCATTCACAGGATACCTCAACCTCAGGTAGTAAGTACTTCCAATCACTCCCCCTTTACAGATGGGAAAACAGAGGCCGAGTAAGGATGATGAACTTGCCCAAAGTCACTGAGGAGTACATAGGGTGGAGTTCAGATTCAAACCCAAGCAGTTTGACCTTCCAACCACTGACCCCAGGACCTCAGAGCCCCCAATTTCTCCTCTCTGGCGCCTAAGCCTATGTTTCCTATCAATCTGACTTTTGCTCCCTCTTTAATCTTTGTTTTTAGTCACATAAAACCATCAGAAAAATTATAGCTCAGTGGACTTAGAGCTGAGATGAGGCATGGAGAAAAAATAGATTTATGCAATTCTGAAATCAGCTGTCAACAAATGGAGTGTCATCTCAGGATCCAGGAAGCAACTGCACAGGCTAACCTGAAGAAATGCTTCTCCAAAATTCTCAGTCCAGGGAATTCCCTGGCAGTCTAGTGGTTAGGACTCCGTACTTTCACTGCTGAGGGCCCGGCTTCAAACCCTGGTTGGGGAACTAAGATCCTGCAAGCCGCACAGTGCGGCCAAAATAAATAAAATAAACAAAACTCTCAGGGTATATAAAACTGACACTGGAAGTTGCTGGGGGAAAAAAAACAAAAACAACCCAGCCATTTTTCCTCTCTTCCACCTCCCTCACTGACTGATTTGGTTCAGGGTGATAATATGCCCATTCCTAAAGCTTAATTCCTTTCATTCTTGAAGCATAATCAGTCTTAGGCAATCACAGCTATTTGGTCCCCCTCTGTTGGATACAGGCTTTCACAGCATGTCTTGCAGCTGGGGGTGGTCAAGTAATCCATTCCCAGCCAATGAAACATAAGGGGTAGTTTTCTGGGCAGTTTCAATGAAATTTTTTTTCTTGCTATTAAAGGAAAACTCTTCTACATCCACTGCCTTCCTTCCCTCTTGAGATGCTATTGTGGAGCTGCAGCAGTCATTTTGCAACCATGAGGTTGCAAAGGTTGACAAGGTTAAGAATGGAGAGCAAGGCTCAAGGAAGACAGAGCAGGAAGATAGAGCCAATGTGGGTCCTTGCTGACACTGTTGAGCCATTGTACCAAACTGCAGCTGCCCTCTTTGAGGCTTCCTCCATGAGATTATGAAACACCTATAGACTGAAGCAACTTTTATTCAATTGTTCTGTAACTTGCAGCCCAAAACTTTCCAACTCCATTTTCCAGGTAAATTTTAAAACTTTACCTACATTCTACCTGATACACATTCACAATGTTGATTCCTGGGGTTCTATACTCTGAGGTAGGAGTCAGGACACTTGGGTCCAGGTCCCGCCTCTGCCATACACTCAGTGTGTGGCCTTGGGTAAGTCACTAAACCTCTGTGATCCCAGATCTTATGCATAAGGTGCTAATTCATCTTCAGTTTACCCTCCCCGGGCCCCTGTGAGGATCCAATGATGCAAAATACCTGAAACTGCTTTGTTATGTAAAGGCCTGTATATGTGGGGGACCAGAGAGGGGCTTACAAGTAAAGAAGACCAAGAAGTTCTTGCCCTCATCAGGGAGGAACATGTGCAGTAATCAAAACCATGCTCGCCGTCACTGTGCAAGCCCTGGCCACAGTGGAGGAATCTGCTCTTCTGAACCCCCGCCAGCTTGTTAGTGGCATCATCCAAGCTTGCAGTTAACTAATTTCCCTTGACTGCATCAGGACAAAACTATGCTGAGCAATCTGGACTGTATCACCAAAGGGAACGGGGCTCAGCCGTCTGTGTGAGGGAATGGTGCACACCAAGCAGCTGTGCCAAAGAGGCCCACGGGCTGTGCAAGCTCACCACGCTACCCAGCACTCCTCCAGAGGGGGACACCAAGGGTGCCCTGCATGTAGAACTGCTCCCAGGCTCCCAGCAGTTCTCCTTTTGGAAACCTTTACATTTCTGCATTTTAATGGATGGCCCCTAGATTTCCACATTGTGAAACAATGTGAGATGGCCAAGTCAATTTACAACTGAAGGTCTGGTCACCTCCAGTCCTAAGATACAATGGCCTCCTTCAGCTCTCCTTCATCCCTACTTAAACAATCAGATATCAATGGTCTAATAGAAAAGGATGCAATGCACATCATCATTAGCCAGATGCAATGCTCTTCTGCCATTTGCTTTTGCTCCCTCCCACTACCAAAAGTGAACCCCAGGGAGGCACTCAACCACCCCCTACTCTCCCCAAACATTTTAGTCCTTCCTGCAAGTTTCTGGAAAATGGGAGGAGTATCTTAGCAGGATAGGAGAGAGCCCAGGCAGCCCTACAGATGGTCTAGCCAGCCCACTAAACATGTGGTGAGGAGATGGACAAAGAACTTTCACCCTTTAAAGAACTTAGAATCTACCACATAGCCTCAGGGCCTCAGTCACTGTCAGTTTCCTTCTCCCTTTCTCCTGGCTGGTTGGCTCTTCTCTGATTCACACAAGTGTAGAGCAGTAGAGCTAAAGTAACTGCAGCAAACAGGGTGGGTTCAAATCTGGGCTCGGACACACACTAGCTGGGTGACCTTGGCCAAAGCATCTCCACTCTTTGGGTGTCAGTGTTCGTATTGGGGGGATGGGGATTGTAACTGCATCTTTCTAACGAACTCATCGTGAGGATGAAATGAGATGGTTCAGTAAAGAGTCAACAGAGAAGCCTCACGTAAGAAAGTGTCTGGGTGTACAAGCACAAGAAAGAAAGAAAATATTTATGTGAGTGTGCTGTGTGCTACACAGAAAGACTGACAGCTGGTACTTGCTAAGTAGGAAGGGGTGTTGGGGCAATGGCCATGACTTATTCTTGGGAACAGGGCTCACGTACCCCTGACCTCTGCAGAGAGCACAGACTCAGCATTCGTTGGAGAGAAGGGCTGCTTCAGTAGGCACATGTGACTCTCTAAATACCTGAGACAGAAACCACCACATTGTGTGGCTGTACACTGCCCCAACCTAGGCCACACTCTGAACCCTCCCAAAAACCTGGGTATTTGGCAGACAGGGAGCCAAGACAGAGCTGCCAGCCTACTGCCAAATACCAGCCGGGAAGGTATCTGCCATGAAACCCTTTGTTCATTTGTTCCCTGAATATTAACTAAGCACCTGCCATGTGTCAGGGATATCAAACACTGGCTAAATTTGCACATGATCATCACTGTGGAGTGATCATGGACCACTTTTTCTTACTTTTATTAGTAAAAGAATGTGCTCAATAATGTTTGCTTTTCCTTTTCATGATAAAAAAGTGCTTA